CACCGATCCGTTTTTTAAACCATTGAACAAAACAATTAAACATATACACATACCCATGCACACGCGCACTAGATAGAGAGAGGAGACAATTTTTTGTCACTAATTAGTATAATCAAGTTATGGGTGAGGTTTATTTGCCCACCTTAAATAATCAAAGTGAGGAACGCATCAAAATCTTGTTAGTAAATGCAGTTTCAATATTAACAACTTTTATGATAGCCTCAGTATCATTCCCATCCTTAATTGTAAAATTTAAAGTTCTAAAAATGGTACACGTCAAACAAATATCTAAACATTTAAATTTTTTTAAAATAGACAATCTAGATAATGCGTTACAAGATGCACTATTTTTAATGCTTGAAATCACTTTTCTTTCATGCTTAGTATTGAGAAGTTGAGTTGATCAATTGGTAAATTTTCCATCATTAGAACAACCTTCTTCAACGCGTTTTTTAGATGTACCTCCCTTCTACATTGCAAAGTTGCGCCTTGTATAAATTTATTCCTAAAAGCCACGTTTGTTTTTGTGTGAAAGTATTTCCCAAAAAATATTTTCACGTGAAATAATTTTCTCATGTGGTTAGGTGTGATAATATTTTTACATCGATTGGTCCTAATGTATCTTTTCACATCAATCTACAGTTAATTAAAGTGAAAATATTCTCACACCTAATCAAAAAAGAGAATTTCACACAAATCAAATGTGCCCTAATTGATTTTTCTATTTCTTTCTCACTTGGCAACAAACCACATAATGGGCTAGAATTATAAAGCCTTTTTCTGGCTAAATGTTCAAATTATCAAACCGCATATAAGATAATTGGTTTCCCATTGATTGTTCCTTTTCCATGATAAACCCATTCAATTCACCCTATCGAAAAAAACAAAAGAAAAATAAGAGAGCTGGAACAGCCAATCATGTATCCCAATTGAGCATCTCCTTCTCTCTCTCCCCAAAAGGAAAAAAATGGACCATGTAGGGCCCATGTCTTAGGTACCCCAGCTACCCTAAAAGGTGACGTTTTTAAAGAAGATGGTCCCAAATAGATTTGGCATTTTAGGACTTAAAAAGTGTCCCAAAAGAAGAAATGGACATAGTTTGGACAATTAACCTGCCCTAAAAGAACATGGGGATACCCTAAGGTAGTAGTTTGGGGAACCCTAAACTTAACCCTAACCCTAATCCTAACCCTAACCCTAACCCTAGGACCTTTTGATCCTTGTGCATGCCCACCTACAAAAGTATTGTTTGAGATAATAGAATAATGGGTATGCTATTGGGAAGTAAGGGGGAGAAACATAAATAATTGATGCATACTAGCATAGAAAAATGACAAAACTATTTAATATTTAAGATGGTAATGTATAAAGAAAGGACAAATGGGAAAGGAGAGAATCCCGGAAAACCCGCTCGTGGAGTTCTCTCTCTTCCTAACAGCTTGGTCGTAGTTATGTTTTGGAGCAATTACCATTTCTTCCTCTTCATAAGATTTGGTGTAATTATATTTGGAAAAGATTTTCCTTTTTCACAAATAAGTTTTACTTCTTAAATTATCTTTTAAATATAGAAAAAACTTATATAAGATGAGACCCTAAACTTTAAGGCACCCCTTAGAAATTCACTAGGAAAGGTTTTTTGATGCTACAAAACCCTCAATTCAATCATCTACCTCAAGATATATGGACGTGAGAAAAAATAGATTTTAAGTCTTGGAAGAAGTGTATATTGTTATGTATTATCTAGACCACCAATTTTCGAGATTTTCAAGCGTTAATAAATTTGCTTGCTATTTTTGAATTTTTAAATTTTAATTAGAGATAAAATAATTTTTAAATTTATTGCAAAGATTTATGATACAAAAACAAGATGTTTCGACACTATTTTAAGGCACGCCTTACTTTGATTGCTTAGGGCCAAAACCTTATACAAACGACACCTTTTAGATATTTATCTAAGGGAACATTTGGCAAAAGGTTGAGGCTCTAAAGAATTAAAGCAAGCTGTATCTATAAATAGTATCAAAAAATGATATTTTTTAGTAGCAAATATCTATATTGGCCTTAAAATTTATTTTTGACTCTAATTATAAAATTTAGAGCTCAAAAAATAGTTTAGATTAGCTGCCCAAATGCTATATTTGAAGATGCTTTAATTCCCATACTTGAAATCCTTTTTTTATTTATTTTCATATCTATACATCTCAAGATCAAGATGATCAATCTAAGGGTTTTCAACATCGAAACAAGCTTTTCAATAAATTTTTGAGGTGCGCCTTTGATTGTTTAGGGACAACTTTATATAAACTTTTTCTTTTATCTAAATTGTATGTCATTCTCACTAAATTTACTCTCTCATGTACGTGTTCTCCCTCTCTAATTATCCTATTCTCTTTCTTTGATGGTTGGTACTTGGTATTATACTTTAAAATTTTGGAATTGCCTATAAATAGATCTCTTGTAAAAGGAGATCAATTATTATTGTCCTTTAAATTTTAAAATGGGTGATTGTAAGGGTATCATTAAATAGACACAAAATTCAAAAAACAAATTATCAACTTCACGACTTATCCTAAACCATCTAATTGGACATCTAATGAGTGAGAATAATTATAAGTCTATATATAAAAAATAAATATTATTTATAGACAATCCCTAAATTTTTTGTGCCGTTTTCTCTCTCCAATATTCTGTACTTTTATTTTATCTCATTTTTTCACGTAATTATTTCTAAAACCGGCCGTCTCTCTCTCTAAAAGTCAGTTTTCCTCCTTTTTAACGCTAATGAGTAATGACATAACGGAAAAGGAATCCAAAACTTCATCGGCTAGTGAGGTACATATGAGAGTTTTTAGCCCTTGGCCAATTAATTTCCCAATTAATGTTTTTATCTTGCATCAATTCCTAAAAGTAGCTGAACTTTTCATGCTTTTACAAGTTCAAAATATTGCACAGTTATTTAAAGTTGGTCTCACAATGTATAATCCTAATGATAAACATGCAAGGGCACTTTTATATCGGATTGGTTTGGTCCAATCAGAATTGATTCGACCACTAAATGAATTAGTTGGACCACATTTAAAAATATATGTAAAAAAAAAAAATAGTAATTTAAAGAAAAATTATCAGAAATATACTTTAATAGTTGTTTAATTGGTAAAAAACTATCAACTTTCATAAACCTTGTCTACACTATTTTTTCTCAATTTTATCATTTTATCAAAATAGTTTTTACGGTAGTCGTATTACCGTGAAGGCTCTATCATTACGGTACTTTAAGTAATGTAACGCAGTAGTCATTATAGTACTTTAAGTAATGTAACGCAGTAACCATTACGGTGATGCGACAACTGTAAAAACTATTTTAGTAAAAAAAAGCCAAAATTGAAAAAAATGGTGTGGACGAAATTTATGAAAGTTGATGATTTTATTTCTAATTAGATAAAAAATAATATATATTTTTGATAATTTTCTTAATTTAAAATCCTAAAAAATATTGTAAAAAAGTTTTTCAACTATGTTTAATCAATTGAACTTTTAACTGGATACTCCAATCAGTTAAAACACTTATTTTGATAATTTTTCAACCAAATAAGAGTTTCTCCTTTGACCAAACTAACCAAAACATGATCGGTGATCCAACCGGTCCCATAGAGTGGTCTATGGTAACAATGGTCATAACTACTATCATGGACAACATCGCATGGTGAAGCACAATATAATGCTCATGCCCAAAGTAATTTTGCCTTCTCAAGGATCATCACTCATCACCATCCAACAAGTCCTTGATTGGTGATGGAGAGATAGTGGGCCCACCTTGAATGCCATGTGATTCTATGTATCTCCTTCTACTTCACTACCACTTATTGGATGGTTATGGTCCTCACAGCTACATAACTCTGCTAAGGGTAACGATGGATGGGCCTGCTTGGCCCTTGTCTTTGTAGGGCCAGCCCAGAGGTAAATGAAGAAAAAATAAAAGAAAAAACAAGAACAAAAATGGCCGAGCCCAGCTAGCATTGGCGCTAGCTTTGCCACAGTTTGTAGCGCTCGGCCAGCCGGGCCTCGCTGACCTGCACGGCCCTTGTCTTTGTAGGGCCAGCCCAAAGGTAAATGAAGAAAAAATAAAAGAAAAAACAAGAACAAAAATGGCCGAGCCAAGCTGGCAGTGGCGCTAGCTTTGCCACAGTTTGTAGCGCTCGGCCAGGCGGGCCTCGCTGATCAGGCCCGGCCACCGAGCCTAACTCAAGCGGACCTGAGATTCGCAGTAGGTGCTTTTTCCCCTAGTTACATTAAGATTGGGTAATTATAATTAGTTAAAGTTCGACGTCAAGCTGTCTTTTCAAAAAACGAAAAGATTAAAAAACCTAGCGGACAAAAGAAGGATAACGAAATGGGCAGGGGTACTTTCGTCATTACCCAATACTGAGGCAATTAATAAACCTTTTTTTTTTGTTGCTGACAAATGTTCTTGCTTTTTATTTTGTCACTTTTGTTTCGCATTTGGTTTTTACTCGTGCGGGTGAAAAATATTCGGCCCAAACTGTTCATAGAGAGGCAGATAAGGACCCATGCCTGCAGGTCCAACAGAGCAACTACGTACGGCTGAGATCTCTCCTTTGATATCCCTTACGCATATCTCACCGTCCGATTAGGATCTGAGGATAGGGTAGCTAACCCCCCTCCTTAACCAGAGTTGATAACTCAGGTTTGAAACAGACCCCAGGTTAAAGAGGAGAGAGAAAAAGGGCGTAGAGAGAGGTTTTGGGATAACATTTTGTTGCAGAGACTGAGAGGAGAGGGAAGATAACGGGGAAAAATCTCAGAGCTAGGGTTTGGAGCGTCTTCCCTTTCCTTTTATAGTAACTATTTTCACGTTATGATAAGCTTTCCCCTTGGATGTCAAGTCTTATTTTTCTGTAGATCTCAGAGGAAATCTTAGGTTTTTTTTTCTAAGGTTTTCACTGTGAAATCATTTTGACAATCATTCTCTCTGATTTTACTGGAATCTCTGTCTCTGTAATCTTCTTTCTTTTTCGTTAACTTCTTCACTAGATCGAATACTAGTCAGGGGCATTGAGCTTATTCAGCATAGAGAATCTCTGCATTTCTTTTCTGGACTTACAATGATGCCGTTTTTGTATCAAAAGTGAGAGCTTTTGCCCAAGGAGATCTGTCTCTTGCTCTTTTGTTTCCAGGTTTGGTATGTGTTCCTGATAAGCTTCAGAGCCGGTTCAAGGTTTCAGTAATGGAACTATTAGATTCCAAGTGGATATAAGAATATATTCAAGTTTATTATGATGTAAGCAGGTTCGAGTTTATCATGATGTATGAATCAGTTGCTGAAGTCCTATACCGATGTTATTTTCGTTTCTCGGATTTGCTTGTGTAGTTCATTCAAGTGATCATCATCAATGGAGATAGAAGATTTGTAGTGGTTATGAGGCAAGATCTGAACTTTTTGATAGTAGATGGATTGGTAATGGTTCTAAAGCATTGAGTCGCTCATCTCCTTTTCTGTATCTTTTAACAGTAATCAAGGTCAATCTGGCTCTGAAAGATTAGCAATGGATTTTTGAGTAGATCCATCTGTTGTGCTCTTTAACATTATTTCAGGCCGCAATAATTTGTCTGGTGCGATGAGATGATTTTCAGAGCATCTCCTCCCTGCATATTTCTTGTTTCAATAGATACGAAGTTCAGCGCTAGGGATACGTAGACTAGATTCAAGTGGAACCGGTGCATATTGTTGTGCAATACTGTAACATTATGACTTCATTTCCAGAAGAGGTTCTTGAACATGTATTCGATTTCATATCTTCACACAAGGATAGGAACTCTGTATCTGTGGTTTGTCAATCTTGGTTTAGGGTTGAGAGATGCTCACGGCGAAATGTATTTATAGGGAATTGTTATGCCACTAACCCGGAGAGGGTTATATCTAGGTTTCCTAGGGTTAAGGCCCTAAGTTTAAAGGGGAAGCCGCATTTTGCTGATTTTAACCTTGTTCCTCACGACTGGGGAGCTCATGTTTTACCATGGATTGAAGCCATGGCCAGGAGTTATCAATGGCTTGAGGAGCTTAAACTGAAGAGAATGTTGATAACTGATGATTGCCTTGACCTCATTTCCCATGCCTTTCCAAATTTCAAGGCTTTGGTGCTTATTTCATGTGAGGGGTTCTCGACAGATGGTCTGGCTTCCATTGCGGCAAACTGCAGGTTTCTTCTCTTCTTGTTATCAATTTTAATGATGCTTTTGTCTTCTTTTTTTTTTTTTCTGATATAGCTTTGCATGAATTTGATGGGTTACTTTTGTCTGTTGTTATATTGTTACCCTCTGTTATTTTGCTGTGAAGATATTTTTATTGCGTTAGGATTTTGCTTTTTTGATATCTGTGATTTCCTTTTTGGTTAAGTTTTATTTTGTTTTGTGGTGATGTGAGATTCCTTCATGTGAGATGTTACTGGAAAGAATTTGGTTTCTCTTATTATTTTGAAGTAAGAAAGGACATGTTAAGGGTTCTTGTTCTTATTCACTTTGTAATGCAAACGTATTAGCATTCTGGAGAATTCTGTTGGAATAAGCACATTTTATTGCGTTTGTTTGTTCGGATTTTAGACATTTTAGAACCTTCAAATTGTTTGAATTTCTTTGAAGAAGTAATGCACTTTTGTGATGTTCATTTTATGTGTTCATCTTACATTGGGCATTGTTTCACTCTAATTGGGGTTGTTTCTATTGTAGCTGTTATTTGTTTTTTTTCTTACGAGTGGTATGCAATCTGATGCTTGGTTTTACTTCCCTTGGAAATAGTAATACTCAAAATCACTCTCTCTCTCTCTCTATCTATTTATCTATATATACTGAATATCTTCTGCTATGGCAGTTGTTTCGATTTTCTACTGTTTTCATCTTGCACTTTCATTTTTTTCTTCTGTCATTTCATTTTTCGTAATTATAACTGTTTCTGAAGATTTAAGTGTTTCTTGGATGCCTTCTATCCTACCTTCTCCGGAGTTGCTTGAAATGTGTTCCTAGAGAAACCTCTCTCTCTCTCTCACACACACACACATGTGCTGTGCATTGAATCTAATCTCTCTCTCTCTCTCTCTCGATACATTTTTGTCTGTGTCGTAGTTGTTGTTGTATTACCTTTTGACAAATTAATGTTCATACTCCACTATCCTCTTGTACAGGAACCTTAGAGAGCTTGATTTACAAGAATGTGAGATTGAAGAGAAAAACACCCCCTGGCTCAGCTGCTTTCCTGAGACCTGCACATCCCTTGTCTCTCTAAATTTTGCCTGCCTCAAAGGAGAGGTGAACCCAGCTGTTCTTGAGCGTCTTGTAGCAAGATGCCCTAATCTCAAGAGCCTAAAAATGAATCGCTCAGTGCCTTTGGAGATGCTCCATAAGATCCTTGCTCGAGCGCCCCAATTAGTGGAACTTGGTACTGGAGCATTTACACAGGAACCACGTTCCGAGCATTATATCAAGCTTTTCAATGCTTTCCACAATTGCAAGAATATTAAGAGCCTTTCTGGTTTTTGGGAGGTGGCCCCAGTGTATCTTCCGTCCATTTACTCTGTTTGTGCGAACCTCACATCTCTCAACCTCAGTTATGCATTGATCCAGGGCCCAGAACTCATCAAGCTTATTCAACAGTGCCACAAGCTCCAACGCCTCTGGGTATGTCAGTCTTATAAGAGAAGAGACGGGGTGGGCATAGGCGTAATTGAATTGACTATGTTACTTGGGAGAGAAAAACTTGAACTGATTTTTTTTTTTTTAGTTAAAGCATGACTGATGGTTCCTTGGTCTGAACTGATTTTGCATATGTTTTCCACTTTTTCTCCTTTCTTCCTTCCATGTGAGTGAGAGTAGGAAGTTTGTGTGTGTGTGTGAGAGAGGGAGAGAGATGCAAGTGTGCACACATGAGCCAGAGCTGGAAAGAAAGGGGTGGAGAGTGTACATTTGCATGTATGACAGATGGAGTGAGTGGCAAATTGAAATAAGTGGGATGTGTGTGAGAGAGACACGAATGGGAGTGAGAGAGCATGAAGTGTGTACTGAAAGAGACTAGTGTGTGTGTGTGAGAGAGACACGAATGAGAGTGAGAGAGCATGAAGTTTGTACTAAAAGAGACTAGTGTGTTTGTGTGTTTGAGAGAGAGAGAGAGTCTTCATTCATGGGACTTTCTTTTTTCTTGAGAGAGAGATGCTTATTTCTTCTTATTGTTGCTGACATCCAAATTTCCACAGATCCTGGACTTCATAGAGGACAAGGGTCTTGAGGCAGTGGCATCCACCTGCAAGGACCTTCAAGAGCTGCGTGTCTTCCCCTCCGACCCCTTTGGCCACCACCAACACCCCAACCCCTATGTTACCGAGCGGGGCCTTGTTGCTGTTGCTCAAGGCTGCCCCCGCCTGCATTCCCTTCTCTACTTCTGCCGCCAGATGACCAATGCTGCCCTCACCACCATCGCTCGCTCTTGCCCTAATTTCACCCGCTTTCGCCTTTGCATCATCGAACCTCACACCCCCGACCACTTGACAAGGCAGCCCCTTGACGAAGGCTTTGGCTCAATTGTTAGAGAATGCAAATCTCTCCAGCGCCTCTCTGTCTCTGGCCTTTTAACTGACCAAGTCTTCCTCTACATTGGTATGTATGGTAAGAAGCTCGAGATGTTATCCGTAGCCTTTGCTGGTGAGTCAAACAAGGGGATGCAATATGTGCTTAGAGGGTGCTCAAGCTTGAGGAAGTTGGAGATTAGGGATAGTCCTTTTGGGGATGAAGCTTTACTTACTGGAGTGGGGAAGCTCGAAACAATGCGATCCCTTTGGATGTCGGGGTGTGAGGTGAGTTATGGGGGGTGTAAGGAATTGGCGGAGAGAGCGCCTGGTTTGAATGTGGAAGTAATGAGTGAGAGAGAGTGTAGGTTTATTGGGAGCCCGGTTAGGGAGCATAGGGTTGATAAGGTTTATGTGTATCGAACATTGGTAGGGCGAAGGGAGGACATGCCAAACTTTGTATGGAAGGCGTAGAAAGAGAGCCTAGAGAAACAGGGTATGCGCATTAGTTGATGGCTGGGATGTTGCTACCCTCTTTACCCCAGGTTTGTATGGTCGGCTTCTACTTTAGTTTTGGTTCTTTTTTCTTATTTTTTTCTTATTCCTTTCCTTTTCATTTGAGCAGTTTGTGGGAATGAGGGTGGAGGGATTGGTATCTTATTGTAGCCAATGTAATGATTTATCCTCTGCTTATCTCTCTCTTGGGAGGAAAATAGGAATTTCTGATTGTGGATGGTATTAGGTCTCTCTCGTGAGAATTTTCATTGTGGTGTTTTTGCTAGCACCCCTCTATCTTTCATGAAGGACCCATGTTGGATATTTTAACCTGTCTCCCTTACTGATTCCTAATATAGTTTTGGAGCAATCTACGTCTTCTGGGAGCTAGATTATGTGAATTTTTTAGAGATTTAAGCCGGTTTCACCATACCTCACAAAAATGGGAAAACTCAGGATTGTGCTCATGGTTTGGAGTATAATTGAGAATATGATTTCTGGTATCAGTGAGAAGGGTGATCAGCTGTGGGTTTCTGAAATCTGTTGTGGTTGGGAGAGACGCCATGGGTAAAAATGTACCGGTAGTGAGGAGTTTGTGACTGAAAGAGTAAATGGGATTTGGGTCAGTGAGAGAGTGGTGAAAGGTGGCTGGCCTTCCGACTGAATGCTTTTTTGTGTAGGTTGGGTCCTCGTGTCCTCCATCATTTCTTCCATTATCCATTTGGTTCGGTCACGATCAGAGCTTTCCTTTTGTTTCCTTTTACCTCATTGAAGAGAGAGAGAGAACTAGAGAGAAAATGGGGCAGCTTTTTAGACTTGTTTTTAATGCCTGTGGACTCCATGATAATTAATTTACTTGCTTGACTAGATCTCCTGAACCTTGACTTTAATGGATAAATGAAGAGATTTCGTGTCCTTTTTTCCTTGGCTTTTTGATTCTCTCGCTCTGGTTAATGGCTCAGCATTGAGACCTGGTATATGATGCCAGTATGACCCACTTGATGGGCCTATGGTTGTATTTACTTTTGGTGACTCTCCGAGGTAGTCAATAATGTTAGCGATGGTCCCTTGAAGTTATGATAGATTCTCTCGTTTGATGATGGGACTCGGTTTTCGGTGCATGGTACTCGCAAAAGAGAGAGAGAGAGAGAGAGAGTAATGATAAAAATCGTTGAGAGAGCGAAAGCAGCAGTGATGAGTGTGGTGAGGTGAATTGAAGCTGGATCTGGAGGGTCCAATGCCTGCTTTCCGATGTTATTGAATTCTCACCACGTTGGGTCGTGGTGGTAGCACCCCCAGGCTCTGGTCACTATGTTATCATTTTCATCACAATGCCTCGCTAACACTTTCAAAAAATTGACGACTCAACTGGAAAAAATGGGTAGGGACCTGTTTTATCTTTTGAATTACCCAAAAGAAAAAAAAAAAAAAGAATAATAGGGAGAAAAATTGACTCCTAAACCAAAAAAAAATGGGTAGGGCCTGTTGTTCCATTGAATTACCCCAAAAAAAAAAGAAAAAAGAGAGTAATAGGGAGAGGTGGTGATTTTTGTGTGAATGTTCAAAACAGAAAAAGAAAAAGGGAGAGGCTGGAATATTTCAGTCGTTTGTAAGCTCAGATCACAAATTTTCAATGGAGAAGTATGGAATAAAGCTACTTACCTTTTGCACATAGTGGTAACAATTAATCTTTTGTGCAAAGTGGTAATAATTGGGTGGATGTAATTATATTATTGATCAAGTTCAAAGTTAAAATAAAAAAAATATATCAAATTTTGTGATGCACTCGAGCTATCAAAATTTGAATAGTTATAAGTAATCTCTTTGTACAATATGGAAATGGTCTTATTGTGTACACACACAGCAACTATCATACAATGGTTTCATCCAAAGAACCCTTTCTCTCCATCCCAGGAAACCCAACCCTGCCTCATCCCCCTCTCTCAAGCCTATTTCCCAATATACTGTCATAGGAAACATTAAAGATCATTGAGGGGCAAGAAGGCTGCAATTCTCTCCCTCTCTCTCTCATGTAGAACTGGAAAGAAGGCTATAATCTCTCTCAATAAGAGAGTCTTATGAGAGATGATACTAGGGATGGCAACGGCAGGGCTGCCGTGCCAGGCCTGCCCATAGTCCAACAACCCTAGTTTCCATAAGGCCAGACTTGGCCCAGCACTAGCCTTATCCGGATTGGGTCAGTCATGGCATAAGCCCAGCCCCGCTCTGCTCAGCTCTAAACTCGAGTGATATTATGTGGCCTAGTCCCTAGTTTTTTAGGGCTGAGGTGGGCCGGGGCACTGACCATTGCCACCCCTAGAAGATACATGTGTGGAGGGAAAGGTTTTATGGCTGGTTGAGCATGAAACAGAGAGTGAGAGTGTTCGGGACATTCTAAGGCTGCGATTGGGTTGGGGGCTGGATTTGCTTTTCCTTGTCTTGTCGCTGCCCTTGGAGCTTTAAAACAACTTTTTGAGATGGTGGCATCGTCACTCTTGTTGCTTTGCCTCTAGGCAAGTTTCAGAGGCCACTATTTCGTTCTCCATCATGCATATTCTCCCCTCTTCTTTTTGAGGCAAAGGCTGACCAGAAAAATGACCCTTTTACTGTTATTCTAAACTTAGATAAGCATCTTTCACTAAAGGAAATGACGTATTTTTCAATGAATTGTGAACCCATTGGTTCATGGTTCTCTATCAAAGGATTAGGTTTCTCCTACGTAAGATGAATGATTTGATGTGTGGTCCTTCAGCAGCTTCTCTTGTTTAATGGGAAATGGTTTGTCCCTTGGAGCAAGGAGGTCCTCCTTTCTGGATTAGATCCTAAGATGCTACATGGGCATATGTGTTGTTTGCGGAGCATCTGAACAAATTGTATACTACAAGATCTTTATGGTCACGATCACCGTTGCGATATTCACAGCTTTGGGTGTGTGACAAAGTTCGAGAAAGTCAATGGATTCCTACTCAATTTCACATGAGTTTACTAAAAGTGATTGTGACTGTAGCAAAGGTTAATAATCTTTTTATATATTTTTATGATTATCTGAGTCTTATCTCAATTATTTGAGATCGGCTGTACGAATCATGTTTTGCCATTTTGTTCTATCAAGGATCATACCTTCAGTCAAACTATAAATTACCATATCTTTTCTCACTACTTCTTTCTATATAGTTTTGAGCCTTCTCTTTGTCCTTTTAAAGCCTTTTATTTAAACAAATTCACCCCTCCTAACTGATGTTGTATAAGGTCCATGTAGCATATTGGTTAGCACACTTAAGTCTATTTTCCCTCATCTTATAAAATTTAATGTTTGATTGCCAATTATTTTTATTTAAGTTTTATGGTGGTGGGTTTTTAGCACATGTAGCAAGGTTTTTGGTGCGCCTGCCGCATACTTATCTAAAAGTTGGTATCCTTCCAATTTTCGTGTTTCATATGGACTTCAAATTTCATAATTCAATAATTTCCACCACCATGTTCATGAATCTCTTGAAAATAAAAAAGTATTTTGAACTTTAAAACTATATTATCTTAAATTTTCTTTTTTGAGTCATTTATTTGTTGGAAGCGAAGTCATTCAACTAGGACTTCATTTACTCATCTCCCTTGTGTAAAAGGAAAATGTCGTATGTGTGAAGCCAAATCACACATGTGGGTATGAACTTCATTTGTTTATATATATATACTTTTCATCCTTATTTTTTATGCTATTGGATTGGTTTTGATCCAAGGGTTGGGGTGCATTGGTAGTCTCATGTTAAAAGGGTTTTTTCCCTTTTGTTTTAGTGAGAGAAGAGATGGACTCATACGGCTTGGCAGTGTCTTGTTTTTACCTTACTTTCTAGTTGAGAGAAAGTGAGAGAAGAAGGTCATTTTGTTGAGTTCTTGAAACCTTGTTGCAGGACCAGTTCTAGAGAAAGAAAGTATCCAAGAAGCACTCGTGTAGTGTATTTGATGTCTTGTTTTGAGTCTTGTTTTTAGAGAGATAAAATTGTTGTAAATTGGAGTTTTGAACTTTATTTTCTCTTGTAATCTCCATTGAATAAGTAAGTAAATGCTTGTATCATTATCCTATAAATGTAAGTCACAATTTGTGACTAAACTATGTTAAATCCTTATGTTACGTGATGAGGATGTTGTTGTATTTTCATTTCATGTTGTTGTTTTGATGTTATATTGTTTTCATTGTTGGTTTATGTGATTTTGGATGCAAAATATTGTTAATGTGACGCACCCCCTTTGTATCTCCACCACCTTTTGATCACTAACATAAAATTTATGTGTAGAACCTAAAGTACAAAACCTATTTTTTATAACAATATTACAATTTATCGTGGAGTTACTTAACTACTATTTACTAGTGGTTTAAAAAACGAATTGGTGCCCCGGATCGGACATCTCAAAAACCCATCCTGATCAGTAAATCGGCGGTTTGGATCAAGAACTGCCGAATCGGTCGGATTCGGCAATAAAAAAAATAATTTTTTTTATTAAAAACCATTATAAATATTTATAAATATTGTTTTTTAGGAATCCAATAAAAAATGGGGGTACTACATTATTAACTTTCTTTTTTTTCATCAATATGCGAATATTGAGATATTCTTTCCTTGTATGAACTTATGTTAACCATTAAATTTATATCACATAAAAGAAGAATCATAGAATTATTATGGATGAAGTATCTTATAATATCATTTAATTTCAAAAATATTATTAACAACTACAAAAAAAAATAGTATATTACATCAAGGTTTAAAAAATCAAAATTAGTGATTTTTTAAACACAGACCGAATTCAAAAGATAAGACATTATTTAAAAAATATTATTTAGAACAATAAGAAAAAATAATACATTACAAAATTTATAATACAAATAAATTAATAAATAAAATACAAGATTTGATTATAAATATATAATTATGAACTATAACATTATAATAAATATAAAAATAAAACCCCCATAAACTTTAATATTATGAAATTAACATATTTTTTAAAAAAAATATTCTAAAAATTAGAAAATAAAGATACCAAAATTCAAATATGATTGAAGGAAGAGATTGAAGAATACGCCAACTGCCAAGACACCAATAACCTCATATTTTGTGGCTTCTACAAACAAGCCCCTTGTTGGCCCTGTTAACCCTAGCTGACCTACGATTTTCAATTTAATTGACAGAGTTAAATGAGATGGATGGAAGACTTCTGAAGAGGAGAGGAGAGGCGATGAGCAAGTACATTACCAAGGCAAAGGAATTGTAGCTAGAGAATCTAGGGCTTTTCAAAGTTTTAGGGCCACATATAGGAAAAGATGGTCTTTAAAAGGAATGAGATGGAGAGAGATTAGGGTTTTTTAAAGTCATTGCTAGCTAGTTTAGGGGTTTTTGAAAGAGATTGTAGAGAGAGAGAGAGATGAAACAAAAGGGGTATACTGCTGCCCCCTTTCTTAATTTTTGTTCCAGCAATAATACTTGAATACTGTAGCAACTGGCCTTGGAACTTAGAACTCGAGTATGCTTTCTCGAATTTTACTGTAATTGGGCTCGTTGCTACAATACTCACAAGTGGCACACTCCCAATCTTGTACCTATTTACTGGCCTTTACTCGCCTCAACACCTTGCTGTGGTCGAGTCCGAGTCGATTTGGCCGAGTCTTGAAATATTGTATTAGTTATAGAAAAACAAGTGGTTGAGTCCGAGTCGATTTGGCCGAGTCTTGAAATATTGTATTAGTTATAGAAAAACAATTAAAAGGGGATTTGAACTTTAAAAGAGAGATAAAGGGTATAAAAGATTTTCTTTGGTAAACCATAAATCTATGGAGTAAATTTTTTTTGCATTAAATTTCTATGGTATTCCATGGACAATAGGGCATTGTTACATAGAATGGACTAGGAGGGCACGTGCTGCGC